AATTTTGATCAGAAGCAGCATCGCATTAGTAGTAGTTTTTTGGCCACAAACAATACTACCATCATGCCTCAGCCACCGTATTCACCAGACTTGGCCCCCTGCGACTTTTTCCTTTTTCCGAAATTGAAAAGGCCCATGAAAGGACGAAGATTTGCGACGATTGAGGAGATTAAGACCGCATCGCTGGAGGAGCTCAAGGCAATACCAAAAAGTGCATTTCAGAAGTGTTTTGACGACTGGAAAAAGCGCTGGCACAAATGCATTGTATCAGAGAGGGATTATTTTGAAGGGGATAACATAATTTTGGATAAATAAATAAATATTTTTTTATATAAATGAAAAGTCACTTTATTTTTTGATCACACCTCGTAGACTTGAATGGTTGCTTATGAGGTGATATAACACTATGTGTAACATTTTCGTAGTCTTTTGTAATTTTCTTTTTCAATCTTGGTGGTGATGGTAGTAATAATGTATCGAAGCTTTCTTCTGACGAAGATGAAGATAATCTTTTTTGAATTCGTTTTCTTTTAGTAATATCTTCTGCTTCAGAATTTAAATCACTCGTGACTTCAGCTACACGGGCTTTTGAGCGTGCTTTTGAATAATCATCTAAAAAAGAAAACAATTGTTCTGAATTTTGTAAAGAAGACAAAAGGACATCTTAAATAAAAAATTACGACATCTTAAAAATAAATTATTAAAAAAGCAAAATGTACAAAATATTATAATACACTACAAATATACATTTACTTTACATGTAAAAACTCACTGAAAGTAGAATTTCTAAAACTCTTAATTTTATAGCTAGGCCAGCATGTATTTAAAGCTTCGTGCTTCCTAATTGCAGTCATCAACTTGTCTTGCGAATATGTTGGCCAATGACAAAAGTGTCTCTGTATCCATGTTGAAGGAACTGCTTCTACAGAAGTATCTTCTTCAAATTGTACAACAGTCCATGTTTGTTTACCCATGTTCTTTTTACAGTTATATGTAAACTGTAGACAATTTATAATCAAAAGAATGAAGATATTTCAATAGCCATTTAATATCAAGACAAAAGGAAAAGTAGGATAACTATTCCAGTTTTCTCATTCAACTCTATAGTGATAACATTTTTTATTTTTATGAAAAATATTCACCATATGTTTGTCTTCTTGATTAACAGTAATATTATATATAGTAAAATTAATGTTTGAATATAAATACACTAATTTTTTAATGTAAAGTTGATTACAAAAAAAGAGTGTAAAACTTGCAACATATATGTGTAACACATACAGTGCGGAGCACCATATCGTGCGCCGTGAGGAGAAGTAGTTCTCCTCCGGCTGCCTCCTACTAGCACGCGCCAGCGGCCCGAGATTTAATCCATATGTACCGGCACGGTTACCGATGA